GCTCGTGCTCACGCCCAAGGTGCGCGCGACCCGCGGAAGGGGCGGGGCCAGATGCGAGGGGGCGGGGCAGGGACCTTCTGAGTGGGCGGGGCTGTAAGGGCGGGGCCAGTCCTGAGAGTCAGCATTGGGGAAGCCGTGAGGACCGACGTAAGGGTCAGGCCTAGGTAAGAGGAGGGGCTGACTTGCAGTGGCGTGGTCTAGAGTGAAAGGGGTCTGCCCAGGAATCACCTAGAAGCAGGGTCTGAGATGATCAGGGTATGAGAGTTGAGACACTGCGGGAGAAGTGAATCAGGGGAGGGGGTGGAATCTAGGAAAGAGGTGGGGCCGGCCGGCGAGGAACGGAGATTGGGAACTAGAAGGGTCAGGCCTGAGAGGGCGAGATGAGTGAGTGGTGAGCTCTAGGATCAGCGAGGGTGGAGTCAGTTGAAAAGGAATGTGGTTCAGAAAGGGATGAAGTCTAGAGAGGAGGCGGGAGCCAGGAAAGCAGGGACTGGGACCAGGAAAGAGGGGTATCAAGTACTGAGGGACAGAGAGGGGCCCGGCCAGCTGAGCACAGAGTCTAGAGGTCAGCGTAGGACGGAGCCATCCGGCGAAAGGCGTTGTTAGCGAGAGGTGGGCTAGGGATGCGTAGCAGCAAGGAAGTGGGGCGAGGCCAGTCAAGTAAGGGGTCAGTCAAGGAAGGGGCGGGCTAGCTGGTGAAGGGAGAGGCCAGGGAGGGCAAGGCCTACGCTCTGTACCAAAAAGGCGGAGTCTAGAGAGCAAGACGGCGGGAAAGTGAGGTTTGGTTAGGGGTACCCAGCAGCAAGAATCCAGAACGTGGGCCTGGGAAGATGAAGGCCCATAGTGGAGGCAGGCCCAGCCAATGAGAGGTCAAAGCCAGGAGCCTGCGGGCAAGGCCAGGGCAGAGGTTGGAGCTGGCTGTGCCCTGGAAAGAGACCAGCCTCCCAAGGGCACAGAAGGGGCCAGCTGGAGTGGACGTCTGGCAGGGAAGGGCAGAATTTGAGCAAACCTGGTGTGCGGACTGAGAAGCAGAAATGATCAGCTAAGAGGAGGTGTCTGAGAAGGGGCGGCGCCTAGTCAGGGGTGGAGCCAGTGTAACAGAAGTGGGACTCGCCCGAGGATGGGACCACCTGAGTGGGAGGAGCCTAAGTCTTCACCAGTTCCCTGCTGTGAGGGCCGGCGGCTTTGTGATCACTATTGCATGTTGGGACTCGTAGTTCTCTAATGTCCAGTGCTCTCTGGAAAAGACTTCAGTCCAACTTTCTTCTTCTCTTTGGTATGGGATTGTCCAGATATTTGTAGGCAGATCACCTGCGACGTGAACTTATTACTGGCTGCCGCCTCCATGGCATACAGAGAGACGTGGTCCCTTGTGCCTGCACTGCTGCTAAGGAGTGTGTGCCTCTGTTTCATTGTCGGCTGGGCACTGTGGCCCGCTCAGTGCACACCCGTTGCCTTCTGGGAAATGTAGTCCCATCGGTGTCTATAAATGGAGCAAAGAGTAGTCCTCACAGCTCCATCTGTGCCCCCAGTGAATGCTGGGAACATGGTCCCCTGAGCTCACCTCCACCTGCCAAGAGTGAAGGCCTCTCAGGGTTCCCATGGCATGCTGGGAGACCTCATCCTTTCAGGACAACTGCCCTAACTGGTGCGCATATAATCACATGCCTAGGGAGAAATTCCATTTGCTCATCTCATTGCATTACTGGAAGATTTATTGAGGACTGATTCTCTACCAGGGCTGTTTTAGGCTGTGGAGAATACAGTTGTAAAAGGTTAAAAAAGGAAAAGAAGAAAAAAAAAAAGACCAGGTCCCCACACTTTTGGACCTTGCCTTTCTAATGAGGAGACAAACAAAACAAGTAACAGAGAATGAAATCTGTCCTGGAGGAGAGGTAATGACCCAGCATGTGCTTTCAATAGATGGCAGTCAGGGGAGGCCTTCCTGAGAGGGTAAGGCTGAGCTGGATCTGAGGACTGAGGGAACGTGGCAGCGGCGGGGGTGAGGGGGAGTCCAGCATGGAGGAGCTGGGGGAAAAGTGTCCCCGAGAAAGCCAACTGGGAAGGGTAAAGCCCCTGAAGCCAGAGGGAACCTCAGGTGTTTGAGGAAGAGCAAAAAGGTGAGGGTGGCAGGTGATGAGGTCAGAGAGGTAACAAGGGCCAGGTCATGTGGGGCCTCGTGGGCCCCAGCAAGGACTTTGGCTTTGACTCTGAGGTAGAATAATTGGAAGGTTTTCAACCAAGGAGGGAGGTGATCCAATTAATATTTTGAAAGGATCGCTCTGGCTGCTATCTGGAGAATGAAAGTTGCAAAAAAGGAAGTAGAGATGGGTTAGGGAGCTGTTGTTGTCTAAGCAAGAGAGTGCTAACAAGGAGGGCTGGGGCGGGGATGGTAGTTAGAAGTGAATAGCTGGGGTTGTGTTTTGGATAGAAAGCCGAGAAGCCTTGGAGATGGCCTAAATGTGAGCCTGAAGGCTGTCCAATAGAATTTTCTGCCATCATGAAGATGGTCTTCATCTGCTCTGTCAAGTCTGATAGCCACTAGCTATGTGTGGCTGTTGAGCCCTCGACATGTAGTTAGTACAACCAGGGAACTAAATTTTATTTAGCTTTAATTAATTTTAATTGGAATAGCCATGGGTGGCTAGTAGCTACCATATTGGAGAGCGCAGGAGACAGTATTTAAACCCATGGATTTGGATGAGATCACCAGGAAGAGAGGATAGAGAAGACTAGGGCACTCCTATGTTTAGATGCTGACTGAGAAAGAGTCCAGCAAAGGACACAGAGAAGGAGGGGACAGGCAGGTAGGAGGAAAATCAGAGAAGGGCAAGTCTACTTGGCAAAGCCTCTTCCAGTTGGGAGAGACAGTCCCTTCAGCATCCTCATTGCCTGCTGGGAGACATAGTCCCTCTCAGTGGATGCTGGGAACTGTAGTTCTTTCCAGGGATGCTGAGGGTGTTCATCATGGTCATGTTAGCTGCTGTAACAGAAAGAAAAAAAACCCCAAGAATGTTGTTTCTCACTCATATAAAATCCAAACAGATGTTCCTGATAGGAGGTGGCTTTCCTCCAAGCGATGACTCAGGGACTCAGGGTACTCCGTCTTGTGGCTCTGTAACCCCCTGGGACTTCAGGGTTCTCCTCTGGGGCTGGTGAATCTGCCGTCAGACAGGGAAAAGTAAGGTGCGTGGGATGAGGAGAGTTTTTAGGGATGAGCCTAGAACTCAGTCACGTGGCTAAACCTAACCAAGGTCTAGCTCTGTGCCCCAGCAAAAAGAGATGGGTTTGGTGAACAGCTAGTTAGTCTGCCATGTCAAGAGCTGGGAGCTGCAAAGTTTGGCCGTTGGGAGCCATGATGCCCTTATCAGTTGCTGGGAGATGAGGTCCCCTTTGGACCCTCCGGCAACTGTCAGCAGCTGAAGGTCCCCTATTGACTGCAGGGAATGCGGTCTCCACGTGAGGAGTCCTGACTTCCTCCTCTTCCCCTGCAGGAGAAAGGTTCCACCTTCCTGCAGCTGGGCTCATCCACAGAACAGCAGCTTCAGGTCATCTTTGAGGTGCTGGAGGAATACGACTGGACGTCCTTTGTAGCCGTGACCACGCGTGCTCCCGGCCATCGGGCCTTTCTGTCCTACATCGAGGTGCTGACTGATGGCAGCATGGTGGGCTGGGAGCACCGCGGGGCGTTGACCCTGGACCCTGGGGCTGGCGAGGCCGTGCTGGGTGCCCAGCTCCGCAGCGTCAGCGCCCAGATTCGCTTGCTCTTCTGCGCCCGCGAGGAGGCGGAGCCCGTGTTCCGGGCAGCAGAGGAGGCTGGCCTCACTGGGCCTGGCTACGTCTGGTTCATGGTGGGGCCCCAGCTGGCTGGAGGAGGGGGCTCGGGCGCCCCTGGGGAGCCCCTTCTTCTGCCAGGAGGCGCCCCACTGCCTGCGGGGCTGTTTGCAGTGCGCTCGGCAGGCTGGCGGGATGACCTGGCCCGGCGTGTGGCGGCTGGCGTGGCCGTCGTGGCCAGAGGTGCCCAAGCCCTGCTGCGTGACTATGGCTTCCTGCCCGAACTTGGCCATGACTGTCGTGCCCAAAACCGCACCCACCGAGGGGAGAGTCTACACAGGTGAGTGGGACTGTGGTGGGAGGGCCGTGAGAAGACTCCAGGGCCTGACTACCTGGGATACTCACTGCCTGCGTGGCCTCAAATGGTTCACATCCTCTCTCAGAGCCTCGGTCTTATTTTCTGTAAAATGGGTGTCATCGGGTCTCCTTTCTGGGGTTAAATCAGATTATTTGAGGGGAAAAAGCACCTGAGATACAGTGAGTGTCTGACTCCGTGATTTTAGGATGCACATCTTTGCAGAGTTGAATGTCTTTGTCTTATAGTTGATAGCTTATCATGCGTTCACAGGCAGCACTTTTTTTCCTTTGGGGTCCAGAAAAATAGTGACATATCTTCCAGTTGACAGCATCTTAGATTCGATTAAATACCACAGTTAGAGTAGGAACTGAACTTCAGTAACCAGAAACCCCAGCAATTCAATGTCCCAAACAAGGCAGAAGTTTGTTCCTCTCTGACTTAACAATCCAGAGATGCGAGGTCCAGGTTATCAGGAGACTCAGGTCTCTCCCACTTTGTTGCTCTGTTATCTCCTTTCTGCACAGTCAAAGCTGGGTCGTAGAGCACATCTAAATTCTAGCTCAGGAGAAGGGGGAAAGAGAGGAAGAGGAGAGCAAGCAATTTCCTTTAGGGCCAGTGAGCCAGAAGAGACAAGTCTTACATCCCATTGGTGAGGACGTAGTCACTTGACAGGGCTGACTTATTGCTTGTTTACAGCCGCATCCATGCAGATTGGCTCGATGTGGATTCTCATTGGCTAGTGTCTATGCTGTACCGATTGTTACAGTTTGAGTATCACCCTGCCCATGGCCTGGGCTAGCTGCAAGGAAGACTGGGGAATGTTGGCTCTAGCTGGACAGGTGTGTGCCAGCTTACCCACTATTGTTTGAGAAGAGGACAATGGAGTTTGGTGGGAAACAGCATCTCCACTCTAGGAAGCTATGGGAGTGAGAACTTGATGAGTTTGGTGATAGAACAGTGGGTGGAGAGATCTTTCATCCTGAAATGAGGATGAGTTTAGCTTGGGAAGAGGCGATGGGTGGGGAAGAAAAGCCTAAGGGAGGAGAATTGAGAAATTGGTGAGTTGGGAATCAGGATCTAGGGGCAAGAGGGTGAAAACAGCATCCCTGTTCATAAATACTTACTGAGCACCCGCTGGGAACGAGGGCTTCTGCTGAGCTCTGGGAACAGAGAGATGAATAAGACTGTAGACTTCTCTTTAAAGAACACAGGGTCCTGTAGGGGTAGCGGACAGGGATGGGATAATGACAACGCAGCACGACACTTGCAATGATGGAGGTTGCACGGGCTTTGTGGGAGTACTGGGGAGAGTACAGCTAAGCCAGGACATTTTTGGTTGCAAGAAGCAGAGTCTCATTCAAATTTCCTCAGGGAAAAAGGGGTTTATGGGAAAGATAAACATGCACAGAAACTCAGACATCAAGAATTGAGGCCAAACCTGGGGACCAGCTACTCTTTCAAATCTTTCTGATTCTCTCTGCTTCTCACCCCACCCCCTGCTCCCTCTCTCTCCCTCTCCATCACCATCTCCGTCATTATCACCATCTCCATCATCATCACCATCATCATTTCCATCACCATCTCCATCATCATCACCATCTCCATCACCACCTCCATCTCTAGCTCATGCTTGCCACTCCCAGAGGCTGTCCAGTTCTTCTCTTACCACTACTTACCCAGAATTTCTGTTCCCTCATAATACGCATTATGTCAGCCCATCCTGTCCACCACCCATCCCTCCAAATCTCACAGCTAACTCCCTCCCAGGAGAGAAAATTGTATTGGCTCCAGTCAACCTTCCAAACTAGGCAAGACAAGTCATGAGTCAGCCTATGGAGACAGGGAGGTTTCCAGGAGGAAGAGCTATCTAAGCTGAGACCTGAAGGATGCATTGCTCATTCATTCATTGAAAAGCCCTTTATCGAGAGTCTCCTATGTGCCAAGGGTATAATGTTGAACAAGGCCCCCACTCTCACAGACCTTACAATTTCACAGGCAAGACAGTGAACAAGAAAAGAAAGAAAAAATATCAGCAGGTAATAACTTCTGAGATGAAAATAAAGCAGGTAGAACATGATAAATGCTAATGGGGCTAGGTTAGGTGAGGTTGTCAGGAAAGGCCTCTCCGAGCAGGTGAAATTTGGAGGTTAAAAAAAATTGGATAAGGAGAAAGAGCCAACTATCAGAAGAGCTGAGTGAAGAGAAGAGACAGCGAACAACAGGGGCAAAGGCCCTGGGGCTTAGGAGCCAGTGTTTCTGGAGCACAGTAGGCAAGTGGGCAGGGGATAACTCGGGGATGGAGTATCACCCAGGACCCAGATCACACAGGGCAGTTCGGCCAGGTTAGGAGTTTAGATTTGATTATAAGAGCAGTTGGGAGTCCACCAGAAATAGATATTTCAGGCAGGGGGAAGAGCATTGTGCACAAGCCCGGAGGGGAGAAAACCTTGGGCAGGCTGGTGGGCCCATGATAGCTCGGGGTGGATGAAGGCAGGAGAATAAGGGGTTGGAGGGGATGAGGCTGGGGAGATAGACAAGGCCAGGCCACCAGGGCCTAGAATGCCAGGTTGGGAGGCTGGGACTTTGTTCCAGGGCACTGGGGAGCCATGGGTGGGCTGTGAGCAGGGGAAAGGTGGAGTAAGTTTGGGGTGTAGAAAGACCCCTCTAGGATGGGGTGGGGACAGACTGGAGGAGAGAGACTGGAGTCTGGAGGCCAGATAATCCAGGCTGAGGTGGTGGTTCAGGAGGGCTGAGGGGGTAGAGAGGAGGGGATGGGGCAGAGACATCCCAGAGGCAGAAAGAATGGGGCTTGGGGAACTAACGGCCTGGATGGGGTATAGCGAGGGGGCAAGGATGGCAGCTGAGGGTCTGGCTTAGTGCCCAGGGCAATGTAGCAGGCACAATACAGGGTGCCATTGTAAAGATACCTGTCTAGAGAGTCCAGAGACACACCTAGGGCTTCTTTCCAGAAGGAGGGACACATGAGCTAAGATTGGAACACCTAAGACACCTAAGGACTGATCAGGATGAGGAGGGAGAGAATAAGCACCTAGAAAGGCCTAGAGATAGGCAAGCACTTGGTATGTTTGGGAGACACCTTGCATTCAATGTTGGTGGGGCACAAAAAGGGCTTGGGTGGAAAGAGTTTGAGGGTGGGAAGTGATCAGAGATGGGGCAGCAGAGGCAGACGGGGCCCCTAGAACCTCAAACCCAGGCTGGGGGGCTGGGGGCACTGGGCTGCCTAGGGAGAGTGCCTAGCGGAGAAGAGGTGTACTGGGGTTTTCGAGAACTTGGAGGAGAGATTTTGAACTGGGGGCTGGGGTGGATTAGTAGAAAGGGGGCTTTCTCTGCCTGCAGCTGCCAAGGGCCAGGCCAGGTCCCCATTTGTCCCCTCCCTTCCTCCCGGGCAGGTACTTCATGAACATTACCTGGGATAACCGGGATTACTCCTTCAATGAAGACGGCTTCCTGGTGAACCCCTCCCTGGTAGTCATCTCCCTCACCAGAGACAGGACTTGGGAGGTGGTGAGTCCCAGCCCCGACGTCAGGCAGGGGAGAGGGGCTGGACTCCTGGGTCCTGGCAGAGGTGGGCTATGGCCTCCGAGGGAGGAAGGGGCTGGGAGCTTGGACTTTTAGGTCATAAGGGGAAAAACTGGGAATCCCAGACTCCTGGGTCTGCAGGAGGAAAGGACTTCTGGGTCCTTCTGAGGGGAGGAGGTTGAGGCCCAGACTCCTGGATCTCAGGGAGACGGAGCTGGGAGTTCAGGGCTCTGAGGAAGGAGGGCCATGAAGATCAGAACATTCTGGAAAGTCCCCTCAGGAAGCCTGAATCCCCTGCTCTTGGCTAAGGTGGGCAGCTGGGAGCAGCAGACTCTCCGCCTCAAGTACCCGCTGTGGTCGCGCTACGGCCGCTTCCTGCAGCCGGTGGATGACACGCAGCACCTCACGGTGGCCACGCTGGAGGAGAGGCCCTTCGTCATTGTGGAGCCCGCCGACCCCATCAGCGGCACTTGCATCCGAGATTCCGTCCCCTGCCGGAGCCAGCTCAACCGCACCCACAGGTGACAGCCCGGGATCCAGGAGTTGCCGCTTGAAAACTTTCCCTTGAAGCCCAGTCGTGCTGATCCCAGCCCCCCCCTCCCTTGGGACCCAGAATTCACAAAGCCCTCCAGCTTGGTGACCTTGGACAAGTCACGGAACTCCTTTGTGCTTCAGTTTCCCCAGAAAGCAGTACCCACTATAGTTTTAGCTACTGCTTGTCCCTCCCTCCATAAGGCAGGCAAGGGTCCCCAACGTCCCCAAGCCTGCTCGCTCCCCGCAGCCCTCCGCCGGACGCCCCCCGCCCCGAAAAGCGGTGCTGCAAGGGCTTCTGCATCGACATTCTGAAGCGGCTGGCGCAGACCATCGGCTTCAGCTATGACCTCTACCTGGTCACGAACGGCAAGCATGGGAAGAAGATCGACGGCGTCTGGAACGGCATGATCGGGGAGGTGAGGTGGGCAGGGACAGGGCGGGGACTGTGCCGGGACAGGTTGGGGGGCGGAGTCGGGGCCCGGTGTCAAGGCGCAGGCGCAGGTGTTAAGAGGCAGGTCTGAGGGGGCGGGACCAGGAGGGGAGAACTGAGACCGGAGGGGTGTGGCCAAAGGTGGGAGCGACTAGATTTTAAGGGGCGGGGCCACGACAAGGACCGGCCTTGGCGGAGGGGCGGGGCCGGAAGGAGGGGCCTACAGAGGGAGGAGGCGGGGCTAGGAGGTGGAGCTACTCGGAGAAGGGGGCGGGGCCGGGAAGATGGATCCCCAAACCTTCAGAGGCTTGACTGGGGAGCAGGACACGGCCCGAGGCCAGTTCTTCCCACTGCTGTTCTTGACTCTCACCGCCAGCTTTCCTGCCCCACTCTGCCTGCATCCCGCTCATCCACGCCACCAACCTCCTAGCTCTTTCTCTCACCCTGTCACTCGTTTCCTGGGACCTGTCTTTGCCCGCGGCCAGCCTCTATCCTATTCCAGACAGCCTGGTTCCCTCACTCCCTCCTCGCATTCACCCCAGGTCTTCTACCAGCGCGCAGACATGGCCATTGGTTCTCTCACCATCAATGAGGAGCGATCCGAGATCGTGGATTTCTCCGTTCCCTTCGTGGAGACGGGCATCAGCGTCATGGTGGCGCGTAGCAATGGCACTGTGTCCCCCTCAGCCTTCCTCGGTGAGCCGGGGCCCCAGGATGGCAAGGCAGGGACGGTATTGCCTGTACCGGCATGGTGACTTTGGTGAAGTGACATCATTTCTAGGCCTCAGTTCCCTAATCTGTAGAATGGGAGAAGTAATTTCCCCCACCAGAAGCAATTTTACCATGAAACTAAGAAAGGAGTTTCAGGAGCCTTCTCTTACAAGCCTTTCTTTCAGAGGCTTCTCTTACAGCCTCTACAAGGCCCTGTACCTGGTCTTGTATTCATAATTTTGTATTACTTTTTCTTAAAGAGAACCCTCCACATTGTATAAGCAGCAGGCCCCACAAAACTAATTTTCCCCTATATATGAGTATGAGATGAGGAACAGAGATTAGCATGGGAACAGCACATGGTAAATGCTTGATTCACCCATCAGTGTTAACTGAGCAGCTACTATGTGCCAGGCTCTGAGCTGCACACAAAACTCTGCCTTCTAAGAGCTCTCAGTGGCCTCAGGGGGGAGACTGAAAAAAATGTCTTAAAGGGATACACGGACAAGATCATTTCAGATGGTGGTAAATACTATGAGAAATTAAGGCGGGGGATGGGATGGAGAGGAATAGGATTGGTGCTGCCATGGGTGGACAGGCAGTCCTACATAAATCTGTCTGGAAAAGCATTCCAGGCAGAGGGGACAGTCAAGGCAAAGGCCCCAAGTTGGGAACGTTTGTGATGTATTTGTGAAATATGGGGAGACTTGTGTGACTCCTGGCAGGGGGCAGTGAGTGAGCATGAGAGGGGTGGGCAGTGAGGGCCAAGAGGCAATCAGGTAGCGTATCACAAAGGGCCTTGGTCGCTTTCTTAGGAAGGTTGGGTTTTAATCTTATTGCAATAACAAGACTTTTAGCTACAGATGGTGGTGCAGGGATATACTATCAGATTTAGGCTTTTAAAATACCCCACTGGCAGCTCTGCTGCGGCAGGGGGCCTGTGAGGAGGCTACTGCAGAGGTCCGTGCAGAGTGAGGATGGGCTGCGGGATACAAAGATGGCAGTGTGGGTGAGACAAGTAAACAGGCTTAGGATGCAGTGGAAAGCTGACATCCGATGGGGTTGGTGGCTTTGCAATGGATTGAGTAGAGATCTTATTTACTGAGCTTCGAGAAGACAAAAGGGAAAGTGTATATCAGGCCAAGGGCAGCATCAGCAGTTCATGTCCATTCACTCTTGCTCTCTGAAGTCTAAGCAAAGCTCCTGGGGGATGGGGAGGGGCTGGGAGGAAAGGGACATCCCTTCCTTGGTGTTCGGTTTTCTGTATATTTCCCCAGTGATGTCTCTGGTGGCCTCCTCTTTGCACCAAGGTCTCTGCAGGGCACCCAGAGATGCACCACGTGGGGCCCCTGCCTTCAGCAAGGGAGTGACAAGGTCATGTTTATGCCCCACCACGTGGCCTAGTGGAGGTGACAGGCGAGTCCCCAGATGCCGCAGTGACAGTCCAGGGTAATGACCCTGCTGTGACAGGGGCAGTCCTGGCTGCTTGCACTTGGCCCAGGAGGTCAAATCCTGGGTACTGATCTCAAGGATGGTGACTTGGGTTTATGGTCAGTGAACTTCTGGAGGCAGTGTGAGGAGGGGAATGCAGGAACTCGAGTTTGTCTGATAGACAGGTCAGGGTGGTGCCTCTGGCAGGGGAGCTATTGAGAAGGGCGCAGAGAGGGTGTGGCTTGCTCGGGAACTGTGAGTCCCAGGTGGTTAAAGCAATGGGTTCTTGAGAGAATGATGAGGCTGGAGAAGGGGTTGGAAGCCAGGCTGAGGGATGGGGATTTTGTCCTGTGGGTACTGGGGAGCCACGGAGGGCTGTGAGCAGGGGAGAGGTCAGGTCATCTCTGGGTGTAGAAAGAGCCTCTTATGGCTGTGGTGGGGGAAGGGCTGGAGAGGACAGAATGGGGAGATGGTCTGGGGGGACAGGATGGGGCTTGAGCTGTGTTGGCAGAGAGAATGGAGAGGAAAGGCCAAGGTAAGGGGTGGGGGAGGCCAGAAGGACGGGGATGGGAACTGACAGGATGCAGGGGAGGGGGAAGGAGAAAGGGGGTGAGGATGGCAAATGATGGTGGGGAGGGGTGTGGGGGGTGCAGGAAATCTGAGTCTTGATTGGATGGGTAGTGAAGTTCCCAGGATGGAGAGCCTGGGAGTCGATGCTGGGTTCAGAGTGGGACGTGATGGGGGGCAAGTTATAGCTCAGTGGTAGAGCATGTGCTTAGCATGCAGGAGGTCCTGAGTTCAATCCCCAGTACCTCCATTAAAAATAAATGAATAAACCGAATTACCATCCTCCCCAACCCCTCCGAGAAATAGGTCTGGGGCTCAGGAAGCATATTTATGATCTAGTTTCTATTTGGTGGTTGAAATCACAGAAATGGTTGCAATGAGTGTCTTTGAGAGAGACTGTCCCCTCAGGGGTCTGGGTGGGCAGTGAGTTTGTCCACAAGATGGGGAACCTGGGAAGGGGGCAGAGTAGGACAAGGCCAGATGATCTCAGCTGTACTTTGTTCGCATGTCTGTGGGCCCCCAATCCTTGGCTTGGCTGAGTCATAACCAGACACCCCCTTGCCCCCAGAGCCCTACAGCCCTGCCGTGTGGGTGATGATGTTTGTCATGTGCCTCACTGTGGTCGCCGTCACTGTTTTCATCTTTGAGTACCTCAGTCCCGTCGGCTACAACCGCAGCCTGGCCACGGGCAAACGTGAGTCCGTCCCCTTCCTCCATCACCCAACCTCGAGTGCGTGGACCACAGTAGAACTACATTTCCCAACAGCCCCTGGGAGAGAGCTGTGGCCTCTTGAGGTGGCAGAGGCCTCAGGGCCCACTGGGAATTGTAGTTCTTTCTGCTCCCTCATTGAGCAGAAGGGATTTGGGGTCCATGACCCCCTCCTGGCCCCCTGCAGGCCCTGGTGGCTCAACTTTCACCATTGGGAAATCCATCTGGCTGCTCTGGGCCCTGGTGTTCAATAACTCGGTACCCGTGGAGAACCCCCGGGGGACCACCAGCAAAATCATGGTGCTGGTGTGGGCTTTCTTCGCCGTCATCTTCCTCGCCAGCTACACAGCCAACCTGGCCGCCTTCATGATCCAGGAGGAGTATGTGGACACCGTGTCTGGGCTCAGTGACCGAAAGGTGTGTGTGTTTGGGGAGGGAGGGAATTGGCTGGGGTTGGAGGTGGCAGAGCTTGGCAAGTGGGAGGTCAGAGGGGGATTCCTGAGGGTCTCTTTCCAGAAAGAATGGTAGAATGGAATATTCTGGAGGAAAAAGGTTATGTTAAACAATGAACTATTTAAACATTCCAAGGGGAAGAGAATGTCCCCAAATGTTCTAGGGGCAGTAGTGCCTAATGGGATATTCTAGACCAGTGCTCTCTCAAACTGTGATGAAGGACTAATTTTTCCAATTTCTAATCCAGCAGAGACAAATGCTCTTGCAAAATAAAACAGAAAGGAATAGCTGAAAAAATAAAATAAAATTTAAAACAAAGACATGCAAAATTCAAACCCCAATTTTTATTTTTTAGGTTCAACAGACATAAAATTACTCTGTCAAATAGCTTTAAATGTTCACTCCCTCAGTTTCTGTACTAAACTCATCACGGATCGCAGTTTGTTCAGGGACCAGTGATCTGTACAGCACATTTTAAGACTAATGTGGTTAACTGGGTGTCATGAACTATTAGAAAGTTGAGAAACCAATTCAATGGATGACAACGAGCATTTTTTTAAATAACATAGAGTAGAAAATATGTTTGCATCTTCTGTAAGTTTTATGAAATTTTAGTTTTAGTCATATATACACTTGACATTGAGCCAGCACATACCTGTCTGGCTATGTCTGTTGTTAAAATAGTGACCTATTTCTGCATAGACTGGTAACTAGCAATTGCCCACGGTCCCCCACCACACCAGCCCCCACACCTGGGAGAGCTTATGATCCGGCAAGTTAAGGGTCGATGCCCAGCACATCAGGGCCCACTGGGACCCTTCTGGAGCTTTGTTGCTGGTGTCTTTTCTTTTCTTTTCCTTTCTGTTCTTTGCCAGTGTCTTTTCTGATTGGACCATGATTAAGCCATGCTGGGTGTTAAATATTTTAATACTTCACCTGATCGTGGGTGCGTGTGTATATGTGTACATGCCTGCATACATGTGTACAAATACCTGCAGGTGTATGTTCTGGGTGAAGAGTAGTGCTTATACTCTGGGTAACAGTGAGCAAGTCTGAGAAGGATTTCTGGACTGGGGCGTCTGCCAGTTGGCGTGTGTCCCCCAGAATCAAGGTTGAGGGAATCCTCGACCCAGATGCCCTCCCGGGGGGGGGGCGCCCTAATAACTCCCCATTCTGCCCCAGTTCCAGCGGCCCCAGGAGCAGTACCCACCCCTGAAGTTTGGGACGGTGCCCAACGGGTCCACGGAGAAGAACATCCGTAGCAACTACCCCGACATGCACAGCTACATGGTGCGCTACAACCAGCCCCGCGTAGAGGAAGCGCTCACTCAGCTCAAGGCAGGGTCAGCGCAGACGGGGGGCCGGGAGGCCGAGGGGGGCTGTGGGGGCTCTGAGGAGGCTTGGAGATGGCAAGGGGTCAGGGGTTGTTCATCAGCCCAGGGTGGGTCAGTTGGAGGGCAGAGGTCATTGAGGGTGGGAATGAACTCCGCCTTCCAGGAGTAGGATTCTTATGATGTTTTCAGGCATCTAGTGTTATGGATTCTGGGGCCAGACTGCCAGGGTTTGGATCCTGGCTTTGTCCTTTCTTCGCTGTGTGACCTTGGGCAAGTTACTCAACCTCTCTGAGCCTCAGTTGCCTCCTTTGTAAAATGGGGATAAGAGAACCCACCTCATAAGTTTTTTATAAGAATTGTTGTAGTTATTATTACGATCTCTCCCCTCTCCCTCCTTATTCTTATTTTGTCACGTTCCCTCCAGCATGTTTTCTAGAGCAGAGCTGGGGAGCCACGTATTTAATTTAAACATATGCAGTAGCCACACTAAAAGAAACAGGTAATATTAATTCTAATGGTGTATTGTCTTTAACCCAATAGCTCCAAGATATTACCATTCAATATGTAAAGTAAAAATTAGTGAGATATTTCCATTTTTTGGCGGGGGATGGGGGGATATTTTGTACGTTATAATCACAGCGCATCTCAGTTCAGACTCATCACATTTCAAGAGCTCAAAACAGCCACAGTGGCTTGTAGCTACTGAATCGGGAGACCCAGGTCTACATCATCCAAACGCAAAAAGTTTCATAATGAACATTATGAACATAAGACATGAAAGGACTCTGTCCACCTCCCCACCCCCACTAGGACTTTTTTACTTCCTTACTCACCCCCAGTGTATCCTCCCCAGCCAGCCAGCTGACTCATCTCTCCCCTTTTCCCTCCTCAACCCCCCTCCAGGAAGGCCCCTGGGAATTCCAGATCTGCTCCCTCTCCTCTGCAAAGTAGGGCGGCTTTCCCTGATGGCTCTGTTCACCCATCCCTACTTCTCCAGCACAAAGCGCCCTTCTTTGGGAGGCAGGGGAATTGCCCTCCTCTTGTACTTCTACAGGCATCCCTCACATTCCCAGCCTATTTCATTCTCATGATTGGAAAACAAGAATTCTGAGACTCGGGGAGGGCTAAGACCCCATGTCCCAAATCTCCTTGGTTCCTGAGTTTTGGAGAGCAGTGAGAGTGTGGCCAGCAAGGGAGACACATGCCCCATCTCAAAACATGAACCCAAATCTATCCTATCTCTGAGTTTAGAGAACAAGGGATATCTGTATTTTTCTTTCCATCCAAATATCAGCCACAATCCCAGTCCTTCATAAGTAAAAATAGCTCGAGGCTTCATCCTGTGTTTTTTTATATTTATTTTTTTTTTAGCTATAACAGGGGGCGGAGGGTATAGCTCAGTGGTAGAGCTCATGCTTAGGTTCTGGATTGAATTCCCAGTACCTCCATTAACATAAACAAACAAACAAACAAACAAACAAAACTAATTTCCTCCCCCAACCAAAAAAATTAATAAAAAAAAAAGAGATATAACATACACAGATCTTAAGTGTGAAGTTCATCCATCATCTATACCTTTAGGTGAGCACACCCAGATTCAGGTATAGAAAATTTCCAGTTCCTCTCTGCCCCTCTAATCACCATAGCTTATCCCTGGAAATTAGTTTTGCCTGGTTTTGAGTATCACATAAACAAAAGCAAATAGTATATCTCATAGTTTTTCTGTCTAGCTTGCTTTGCCCAACACTACGACCAGGTTTGGTCATTACCGCATTCCACTGGGTACACCATTATGGAAACATATCAGAATTCTTCCATTCTATTGTTGGCAAACATTTGGGTTGTTTCCAAGGTTTGGCTATGGTGAAGAGTCTACTATAAACAGTCTCGTACAAGTGTTTGGAGGACGTACACCTTCATTTTTCTTGGGTAAATTCCCACGGGTAGAAATGCTGGCTCATAGGGAGGTGTGTGTTCAGCTTCCAAAGATAGTGCCAGACATTTTCCTAAGTGGTTGTACCAATTTACCCTCTCCTCCGTGGTGTAGGAAAGTTCCATCTGTCCCATATCTTTGCCAAGATTTGGTGTCATTCTCGTATCTTTTTCATTTGCTATAGTGTTTATTATACATCAAGTTCTGTTCGAACTCTTCGTTATTCGTTTTCTGGGGCTAACAAAACTGCACCGTCCCACAGCTCTGGGGGCTGGAAGTCCTCCTGGTTCCTTCTGAGGGCTGTGAGGAAAGGATCTGTCCCAGGTCTCCCTCCTTGGCTTCACAGATGGCCCTCTTCTTCCTGTGTCTTTTCACATCTTCCTCCCTTTGTGCATGTCTCTGTATCCAAACTCCCTTTTTCTTTGGAGGGGGTAGGGATGGGTAATTAGGTTTATTTATTTATCTTTTTTTTTTAATGGAGATACTGGGGATTGAACCCAGGACCTCCTGCATGCTAAGCATGCACTTTACCATCTGAGCTATACCCTCCCCACACACGCACACTCCCCCCTTTTTTTCATAAGAACACCATTCCTATTGGATTAGGGTCTACCCTAATAATGCCATTTTAACTTGATCACCACTGTAAAAGACCTGATCTCCAACTAAGATCATATTCTGAGGTGCTGGGGTAGGACTTCATGTGTGAACGTAGGGGAATGCAGTTCAACCCATAACACTTCATAGGTGAATATTATCATTCCCATTTTATAGATGAGGAGACTGAGGCTCAACAAGATCCTAAAGTTATGGAAAGGCAGAGCTGGGATCTGAGCCCTGGCACTCTCAGCCTAAGCCTAACCTCCCAACCACTACCCTACATTAACCTCACTCATACAGTGCGAGACCCGGAGTCACCCTCCTTGAGCCCCTCCCCAGAAGCTTTGTGGATTCACAAAGGATGCCCCTGTACCTCACTGACACCACTTGCTTGGATTTCCTGCTTTTGCTGAATTCGTTTTCTCCCCAATATTCCTTTTTACATTTTTTCCCTAATATTCAGTTCAATTTTTACCAGAGTTGTACATCCACATAGTTTGGAGAGTCAAATACTAGATTGTTTAGACGACGAAAACCACCAACAGTCATCCCCCATCAGCCTGTCCTCTGTGTCTCCCACCCTAGAGGAATCTGCTTTCGCCTCATTTATTGTATCATTTTTCTACTTATCTCTCTGTCTCTAAATACCATATTTCTATGGCAACCTCTTGACTTTTCAATTTTAGTTATTTTCCATTCACTTCTCACTGTGGAAGACACATAAACTCATACTCATTTAAATTACTCCAGCCTCCCACGTTGTGATTCTGGCTAGATGAATGTGCAGTGTTTACTTGTTATGACTGTATAAATGCTCCCATAGATGCCACAAGTAGTAAACCATGATTACTTTCCTCTCCTACACAATTCTTTAGTTTTTCCTGGAGTTGATATTGTCTTTTTGTTTTTTTCACTTGCACAGTAACTGAGTTTTCTTTGTGCTTGACTAATTCAAACCCAAATTCTCCACTAACTATATGAATCTCTCCTTTGCGTATTCAGATGCATCAGGTACTCCATTCATTTCATCTTATGAAAGAAGTTTCTCACGTGGCCTTCTGGCCTCCTCCATTCTGGTACATGGCCACCCTCTTGATCCCTTCACCAGCCGCCTGGTTTGCATCCTGTTCTATCCCAATTCTTATTCTTTCTGGGTTTTGCTCCCTTTTTCTTTTGAGCTTCCTAACAAAAGGCACCTGGGAGATAACATTTTGGAGACATTGCATACAGATGTGAAAACATCTCTACTCTTAATGGGCCATCTGGCTGGGTATAAAATTCTGGGCTGGAAATCATTTTCCTTCAGAATTTTGAAGGCATCACTCCATTGTCTCCTCCTACTCCTCCTCCTCCTCCTTCTTTTTTTTTTTTAAGTGGGAGTAATTAGCTTTACTTATTTTTAGAGGAGGCTCTGGAGATTGAACCTAGGAACTCCTGCAAGTTAAGCATGCATTCTATCGCTTGAGCTATACCCTCCCCCCAGTCTTCTAATTCCAGTGTTACTGTTGAGAAATCCAAAGTCATTCTGATTCCTAAGCCTGGTGTGTGACCTCTTTTTCTTTTCCTTGTCCTCAGTGTGCTGACAATGATCAGCAATGTGTCTTCATCTATTTGCATCACTGGACCTTTCGGTCATATCCTGAGGTCATTCATTCTGGGAAATTTTCTCGAATTCTTTCAATTACAATTTCCCTCCTCCTTTCACTTCTCTGTTGTTTCTTTCTAGAGCTCTTATTAACTTGATATTGGGCTTCCTGGACTGTCCATTTCTTTTATTCTCTCTTATTTTTCCAACTGTTTAACTTTCTGTTCTCTCCCTAGGAGATTTTCTTAATATTATTTTCCACTCTTGCATTATGCTTTTTCATTTCTGCTAGTATATTTTTAATTTCTAAGAACTCTTTTTTGATCTCTGAATTTTTATTATATTTTGTAAATTTTATACTGTTATTCTGTAGTATCCTACTTTATAAATCCTATTTGTGGTTCAAAGTAGCAGTATCTTTTTTAAAAAAAATGTTTTTAAGAGGAAGGAGGTAATTAAATTTATTTATTTTTTTATTTTTTAACATAGGTACTGGGGATTGAACCTAGGACCTTGCGCATGCTAAGCATGCATTCTATCACTGAGCTATACCCTCCCCCACCAATGTTGCAGCATCTTGTCTTGTTTCTCTGATAATATTGATGATAGTGGTTGTTGTTGCTGTTGTTTTACATTTTCTCCTCTCTGTATAATCTGTCTCCCCCAAGTCCCCCCTCCCTCCTCTTTGTTTCGTTTTTATCTTTCTTGTCAGAGGCTTTATCTGATGGCCAGTAATCTTTGGTAGTCTGTTCATATTTGGGAGTGGGGGTCCAAAACTCTGGAAGTGGTGGGCCTGAGAGCATTTGAGCAGGGTTGTAGACTATGAACTGCACTGTAGGATGCTCTGTTTGGACCACTTGTGTTGGGGAACTCCCAATGTCAGTATTTTTCAGTGTCTTTTCCTGGGTTGGTCATATATATATATGTACATATATGTATGCATACATATGCATTATATATATATATATATGTTTTTAATTTAGAGAGGACCAAAGAAGAAAACAAGTAATGAATCATGATCTCCCTGACAAAATACCCCTGATGATTTGAACGTTAAAAGGCATTCATTCATTCACTCATTCATCCAATAAATGTTTATTAAGGTCTTGCACCAGGCGCTGGGCTAGTCACTGAGGGTAAAGCAGTGAGCACATCAAACCTCTGCTGTCCTGGTGCTTCCATTCTAGCCTGGAAGACGGACACATGTGTGTCTAGAGCAGCCCTCTCCAATAGCTCTTTCGTGGAATGTTCTAGATCTGTGAGGTCCAATATGGCAGCCAACAGCACGTGATCACTTGAAATGTGGTTGGTATGACTAAGGGACTGAATTAATCTTAATTAAAATTTGAATTCAAATAGCTACCTGTGGCTAGTGGTTACCACCGTGGACAACACTAGAAAATTCCATCCTTTAAAAAAAAAAAAGAAAAAAAGGAAATTCCATCCTTACAGAGAATTACGAGGGAATCGGCAGCCTCCCATGGCTTTGGCTGGCTCACACGCCAAACGTGGGCTTACCCTACAGCTGAGGGCAAGCAACCTCCCAGGAAGAAAAAGGAAATGCGTCTCTTAAAAAGAAATAAAGAAACACAGCTTCTCCTCCCAGGCTGTTCTGGAAGCCCATTCCGTGAGGGAAGTTCAATTTCTCACTCTCAGAGAAGGGGCAAGAAAGGAAACATGAGGTCCCCTTTCCCTAAAGTCAGCATTATTTTTCATCCCTTTCAGATCAATTAAACCGTGTAGGCACACACGTCATCACTCACTCCTTACCAAAGGCACACACTGTTCTCTTGCTTATTCCGCGGAGGAAAACCTCTTGGCATCTTTTCCATATTAATGAGATCTTACCCTTCAGCACCAGTGACCGGTCCACAGAATGCTCCCCTTGAGCCAGCCTGAATTCATTCATTCGACCCCTTTTTATTAAGAACCTGTTGTGTGCCAGGAGCTGTTCTTGACCCTGTGAAGTGAACCACACAAACAAGGTCTGCTCCCTCATGGAACTTAAATTGCGTCAGTGGGACAGAGGGGAGATGAATGGTAAATGTATTAACTAAGAATATTTTATAGTTACAGGGAGGTAATTGCTATGGACAAAAACAGGACAGAGTGAATGAGTTTGGGAGACCTTGGAAGGAGGCTACAGGCTGCAGTATTAAATAGGTTCTCAGGAAGGTGTGTCTTTTTTTTTTCCTTCACTTTTTGACCCATGAGTTATTTTATTATTTTTTTTAAATTGGAGTATAGTTAGTTTACAATGTTGTGTGAATTTCTGGTGTACAGCATAATGATTCAGTTATACATACATATATACATAAATATTCCTTTTCATGTTCTTTTTCACTAGAGGCTATTACAGGATGTTGAATATAGTTTCCTGTGCTAGACAGTAGGACCTTGCTGTTTATCTTCCCCAACCACACTTCTGCACACAGGAAGGTGTCTATTGAGCAACACTTGAAGGAGGGGAGGGGACCAGCCAGGCTGGTCTCTGGGGGAAGGATGATCCAGCAGAGGGAACAACCAGTGCAAAGGCCCTGAGGCAGGAGCATGTTGGCACCATCCAGGAACTGCATGATGGTGGCTGGAGCAGACTTAGTGAGGGACACATGTGTAGGAGATGAGGCAAGGAGAGACATGGGAGTGTTTGGTGGCACAGAGCCTCATATCATGAGTGAAGTGGACACCAGCGGAGGGGAGTGAGCTGGGGAGGGGCAGGAGCTGACAGGGGGGGAATTTTTATTTTTCCCAAACAAAGGCTATAGGACATGGTTGAGTTTTACTAGAGATTTAGGGACAATGAGGGTATAGGAAGTAGAAGGTGGGGAGAGGAAGGCCGGCTTTATATCCCAGAATCACACAAAGGATTACATTAAAAGCAGACTCTTTGATCCCCTCTATCTGAAAGTCCCATTCACCTTTCCACCACTGGAAGCCTTAACTTTTGGCTTTCTCTACATGCTTCTCAGGTCTCTCCACCCACACCTCTCCCTTGGGCCCCACCCCCCACCTCACCGCAACCTCCATTTTATCCTAATCCCCAGCACCTCCCTCCCTCCTCCTTGGCCTGACTCTGGAAACTCCGAGTTCTTCCCACTTAAACCCGGGGGAACAATTCACCTCTTGCCCTTAAGGGCATTTTCCTAAACAAAGAGACACCTGGAGAGAAATTACAGTTTGCCTACAAGGCAGCAGTGCCCGCAGGCAGTGCGGTATTTTTCTTGCCTATAGACCATGCAGGTTTCCAGATGTCAGCTGGGCTCTCCCGGCCTGTTAGGATCTGTAGAAAATGAATTCAAACCCCGTTCTCCAACCACAGGTGGTGAGCGCCCTCCCCACGTTTTCTGCTCATTCTCTGGAGCTTTGAATTCTTTGTTCCACCCCAAGTTTTTGCTTCTGCTGGATCCATTCAATTTGGGGAATCCTCTCTCTGTCTCCCCATTTGAGGTGCAAGGACTAATTCTGTCCTTTTCCTTAATTTCTATGCAGCCAACTCTGCACCCACCATGCACACGTGGCATCTGTGTGCACGGGTGTGAATGTGTGGACAGGGCTTTGCTGAAGGTTTGGGGACACGGGTATTTACATCAACAGTTAGGCAAACAACAAAACTCCAGGTGATGTATTCTTGTCAGGAAGAGCCTTTGCCGTCTCTTCAACCCAGAGTCCAGCCACATGCCTGAAAGTTCTCTTGTTTTCCTCAGACCTGTGCTGTCTGATACTATTTAAATTAATTAAAATTAAATACAATTTAAAGTTCTGTCCCTTGGTCACAATGATCACATTTCAAGTGCTCAAGAATCTGGTGGCTGCGCAGGTGGAACATTTCCTTCCTCCCAGAATCTTCGTTTGGACAGTGCTGGACTAGACAAGACAGGGACCTCCCTCTCAGGACTAGTCTGGTGTCCGCAGTTGAGATGACCAAAATTTCACCCCCAAAATGACTACGGAGCTATAGTCTATATAAGATTCCAGGACTAATAGTTTTTTTTCTTATTAATACATTCTGGACATCTTCATGTGTCAGATCATAAGCACTTTTGAAAATAGAATAGTTCCAGTGTGTAAGTTACAGATGTTTGGATTCCTTCCTTCCTTCTTTCATTTATTGTGCAGATATTTACAACCACCTTGTAGGTATCAGGACCTGCTGGGTCACAGCCTGGAATGTGATCATCTTGGACCCAGCTCTAGTGAGGCTTGTGGTCTAGGGCAAGAGGTTGCAATTAATGAAATCATCACAGAAATAAATGTCAAACGGCAGCAGTTGTGAAGGAAATGACATGCAGCAAGTGCCACCATGTATTCATCTGTGAGAACCACTCATTCCACATCCCTCCTTGTCTTCCCATTAAAGTGCAGAAATTAAAGCCTAGAGGAATACCTCAAGCCAATTAAGATGCGTGTCTGGTCCCATGTTTCCCTGTCTAAATAAAAGAGACAATAGTTTCTACCTCATAGGAATGTTCGGAGAATTGAGTTACTCTAGTAGATAGAACAGTGCCTGGCACAATATAAGTCATCGTTAGCGTATTATTATTTGTACGTTTCTGCTTTCTGAGCTTCAGTCCTCCTCTTTAAAATAGAGGAGTGTATAGGACCTTCTTTGGAAGGTTCCTGTGAGGACTGAACACGGAGTTATTTCATTGACAGTCACAGCTAACATTTCTCCTGTACTTCCTTTGCTCCAAGGACTAGCTAACCTTTGCAATAACCTTGGAAGGGAGGTGTCGCTGCCATCCCCATTCTACAGATGTTTAAACTGAGGCACAGAGAGGTGCCTTGACTTGCTGAAAAGTTCACTAGTAGTGGGAATGGGGAGCAGTTGGAGGTTAGGAGTTAGAGGGATTCTGAGTTGGGCCACTCGGGCATCTGGGTGGGACTTACTCTGCCCCTCACGCCCCTGCCCACAGGAAGCTGGACGCCTTCATCTATGACGCGGCTGTGCTCAACTACATGGCCCGCAAGGATGAGGGCTGCAAGCTCGTCACCATCGGCTCCGGCAAGGTCTTTGCCACCACGGGCTATGGCATCGCCCTGCACAAGGGTTCCCGCTGGAAGCGACCCATTGACCTGGCACTGCTGCAGTTCCTGGGGGATGGTGCGGTTGCTGGCAGGGATGCCCACCCGGGAAGGGAGGGCAAGACCCCTGGGGCCTGAGGAAGGAAGGGATGAGACTCCCTTATCAGAGAGGAGGGTCCTCAGAGGGTGCCCAAGGAAGGTGACAGCCCATCCACCATTCTTCAGATGAGATCGAGATGCTGGAGCGGCTGTGGCTCTCTGGGATCTGCCACAATGACAAAATCGAGGTCATGAGCAGCAAGCTGGACATCGACAACATGGCGGGCGTCTTCTACATGCTCCTGGTGGCCATGGGCCTCTCCCTGCTGGTCTTCGCCTGGGAGCACCTGGTGTACTGGCGCCTGCGGCATTGCCTGGGGCCCACCCACCGCATGGATTTCCTGCTGGCCTTCTCCAGGGTATGGAGAGAGGGAAGTGGAAGGGGAGGTGAGGGGATACAGGCAGGGATGACTAGAATTGGAAGAGAAATGGGTGCGGGACAGGAGGGAGGGGAGGGACCAAGGGAAGGCAGGTGGTCCAGAGCTTCCGGGGCTGACCCTGCTTTTCCCGCGCCCCTCG